GTGAGGGGTAGAGGGTTCGGTTTTGATTCTAGTTGTTTTCTTTTTGGGGGTTTTATTGGAAGGGAGTAGAGGAAGGGCTTAATTTTTTTCTTCTTTCTTTTTATTTCTTCAATTTAGTTGAATACCGAAAGTTGCCTTCTGAATTTTGTGGGACAGCCTGTATTAATGAACTCTTGGAATCCCCCAACTTTCACTATGGCAATCGGTTACATGTCTTTGTACATCACGGGCAATAGTTTTTTGGTCAGCAGCCTTCCCAACAATCCAAAACTTGAACATCCATTAGTATTGACTAAGCGACCAAAATACCTAAGTCTCTTACTAAGGGGATTGTTCTTAACAAGTACTGAGTACTGGTATCGATTAGCACTCACCACTACATGGCACCCACTTGGCAGAAGTGATAATGCAGAAGTGATAATCTCCCTTTCTCCCATACAGACTGGGCAAGCAAGCAACCAACATAATAATGCAGAAAGCCCAGAGCTTGGATGAAAGGAAGTAACTCATTAAAATATGAGTGGCGACGTGGTGGAATCAGGCCCTCGTCAATTTTTGGGCGTATATGGGGTTATAGGTATCATCTTACAGCCTGTTCATTTGTCTTGCTTTTGGTGAAAAAAATATCCATCTACCTTGAATAGAAGTAGAAATATTTGCAATTGAAGGGGGTCAGGGTAGCCCAGTTTCAGAGGTGAAATAAGCGAGAAAATGGCCGCCAAAGTTTGGTAATTTCCATAGCTCGAGAGTCCATGGAAGCTGAAAACTCACATTTTTTTGTGCCATTAATAAATGTTTTTCAGAAAATTCCACACAAAAATGTGTCTAAAAATGGATATAAAAGGGGTGAAGCCAAAAAAGAAAATAAGAAAAAAATTGCTCAACCGTCAGAAAAATTCCTTTCTTTGATTTCATTGTTTTGATGAGAGCCTGATTTCACCACCATGCCTCACGTATTGTCCTTCATCTATTTAAGAAGAATACTTTCCCTTGACAATGTTAATGCAACAGAAAATAGCATTAAAACCCTGTTAAATTTATACTGTCACATCTACTCGACATAGTGCCAATTTCATGTTCATCCAGAAGCTTTTAGCATGGTGTTTAAAAAACGAAAAAACCCAAAACAAAACAGATAAAAAACCCAAACAAACATACAAAAAAAAACCTCAACCAGCCGACACCAGAGAATGAGGTACAAAATTTTAGGTCTTTCACCTGAGAGTTCCGATACACTTGAAATGGAGTGGCATCTCCCACTTCTCCATGTTCCGTCGTGGACTTGTCGTTCTTGAAGAGCTCACAGATGTCGACTTTAAACCCGTCACACCAGAGCTGCTGCTCACTGGCACACAGGACAGAAAAAAGTTGTTCTTGTGATTGTTGTTATGGCTATCCATGTTGTCAGTTTCTAGTTTGTGACAAGACAAAAACAGATTTGTAATCTATTGATTAGAGCGAATAATTCCAGAGGACGCATAGAAAAAAAGAGTGAGCAGATCACATTAGAGAAACCATTGACCACCAATAGGAAAAGAGACCAATAGTAAAAGGTAAAAGCCAAAACAAGGCTTTCCGTACTTCACTGAATTTCACAATATAGTATAATATTACAGGTCTAGTGCCGCCCCTCTTAAATCTGAAAGCCCATTTCTGAGGCAGAACCTTCATATATAATACAATAATGTCATCTCCGAGAGGACCAAACAAAATGTTGGAGACTAAAAGACTGCCCTAAAATAACAAATTTCATAAATGCACTATTAGGGATTCGAAACATGGTCACCTACACAGTAGTCCACAATGATACTGTTCGAGTTAACAATGTACCCATTCAGTATCAAAAATCTATTTCAAAATGTTATGTTTTTCTTTAAAAAAGAGATGATGGAATATTATGTCCATCTTAGATAGGACTGGACAGAAAGTCCTAAAATGCTTCCAAAAACCTAGATCCAGGAAAATCTTACTAATTAAGTATTTTTATGCTTCCTTCGACACATTTTATAGTACTAAGGATGCAGACAGCATTGACTCTGCCTATCAGACGCTACCTGAGCATGGCAGGATACATCTCTGTAAAAAAGATAGTGATAAAACAGATGTGAGAGTATTTCCCATGCAACAAATATATTTTCAAGTGTCTCTGACTACTTGTATGAACCTTTTCCAAATGCCCTGGTTTATGTTCTAATTAGCCCATCTATCAAATTGTCTAAAATGTGTCAACTGAGGTGCAAAACCCTTGCTACGAAAGAAAGTACCATGATCACCTCCTTCCAACAGGGACAACTGTGACCCTGATATTGGCCTCTTGATTTGAACTCCTGAGCTGAATTGGTTGACTCGAGCTGTTAGCTCATCAAGCTGCAGTTGAAGACCTTGGATCACACTGTGTATGAAGGTTAGAGAAATACTCATGAGACAAACTGAAAAATATGAGGGAACCTGGGTTGAAAGGAAGACCACGTTTTAACAACAAAATTACAATCACACTTGA